ATCATGTGATACTTGCCTTCCTCTGACTGGCTTATTTCACTTAGCATCATACTCTCCAGGCCCCTCCCTGCTGTCTCAAAGGGTAAGAGATCTTTCTTTCTTTTCTTTTTTTTTTTTTTTTACAGCTGCATAGTATTCCATGGTGTACATGTACCACATCTTTTTCATCCACTCATCTACTGATACACATGGGCCGTTTCCAAATCTTAGCTATTGTAAAAAAAAAAAAGAAGAAGAAGAAAAAAAGAAACTAGACCACCAACTTACACCACACATGAGAATAAACTCCAAATGAATGAAAGACTTAAATGGAAGTCGTGAGACCATAAACATCCTAGAAGCAGCCACAGCAGCAAAAATCTCCGACATCTCTTGTAGCAATGTTTGCTATCCATCTCCTCAGGCAAGGAAACAAAGGGGAGAATAAACAAACGGGACTACATCACAGTAAAAGGCTTCTGGGGGCACTTTTAAGACTCCGTGAGCAACCAGGACCACCAGTGATGCGGGAGAAGACAGGAGAAGACAGTACATTGGGGGAAGGAGAGGCGGAGAGCTTCCTTTGAAGTCTACCAAAGCTCTGGGTTAGAGGTCTGGAAAGTGAGGAGGAAACGCGGGCTTGGAGCTCCCTCCTGTCTCATCACACTTCGTCCTGTTCACCGCCCGAAGGACTACCTCCCACAGCAGCTAGTGGTCAGGCTTCAAGTGTCTGAGGCCAGGAATTAGATCTTTGCTTATTGGTTATACTTCCCTCTCCTCTCGCCCAGACTCAAAAGCCGCCTCGCCGAGGGTTAAGCAGAAGGAACAGTCTCGGAGCCAAACTTCCCACCAGGGAAGGTGCCTTTCGGGGGTCACGGTGACTCTGGCCCAGGAGTTCCCAAGCTGACCCGGGATGCAAAACAGGCCAAGAAAAGGTGACCTCTCTTAAGCAAGGCCGCCTCGAGTCTGTGAGAGCCGAGCGGGGTGCGGCCTCTGCAGAGGTCGCCCCAGGTGAAGGCAGGCGGCCTGGCCAGCGGCACTGGGCTTTGAAGAACGGGGAGCAATCGGGTTGCTTGGCGAGAAAGCGGTCTTCTCCATGATCTTCCAGGAAGAGGGGGAACGCTCAGCTCCCTCCGCCTGCCTGTCCTTTGAAAACAGGGCACAGAACCCAAGCCACAGAAAGGCAATGGGTGGGGCAGCCTATTTTTTTAAAGGCTCCACACATGACTCTAAGGGGCAGCCGGGCGGACAGCCTCTCTGGTCGACAAGAGCTGAAGCTTCTCAAACCAGTAGCCCTAGCATCACAGAATAAACCCTCAAGATAGGGGGGCCCACACGTGCAGTCTGGGGACAATGAGAACAGCCTGGCCAGAATGAAGGACACATTTTAACTCACGATTTAACTCCGGGGAAGAGAAATGCACGAGGAAACAGTGGTTCCCTATGCAACCTGGGGGGGGGGACACCACCCCGCCCGCCCCCCCCCCCCCCACTCCAGGGAGTGCAAGTCAACTTGAAGGAGTGGGGGGAGCAACAAGGAGTTCTGAATTTCTTTTAAACCATCAAAGATGCCTTGAAACACAGCACTTTCAAAAGGAAAAAAATAAGTGCCGAGGCCCTCACCGTGTCCCACACTGCTGTGGGAGGCAGCTTGAGAATATCTGCAACTTCTAATTTCCCCATCCAATCTGGTGGAAGAAATGGTTTTGAAGGGACCTGCTGCTGCCGAATATTTCCGAGTCAGAAAGCGTAACCCAAGTGGCACTGTCAGGGCTCCTGGGAAGCCCTCCCTGTCGGCTGTAGCTGCTCCAAGCTCGGCAGGACCATCTTTGACCTGTCCCCTAGCACTTTCCCTCTCTCTCCCTCATGGGAAGTCCCAAACTACAATTGCCAGTAGCACAAAACACTGGGTAGGTATCCACTGAACTCCATCTCATAACACAGTGGCATTCAATGACGTCACGTGTGAAGGACTAAGGACGGGCAGAAGGCTCTCCTTCCAATGGGGGAGAACAGGGAATTCCATACCGACCCCTTGTCAGCTCAGCTGCTGAGAGACGGGCAGATCGACTGCTAATGTCTCCTAGCTGCTCAGAGACCAGATTCCAGGAGGAGGCTGAGCTGCGAAACATCCAGCTTAGCAAGTTACAGGAGAGAGAGGTGAGCTTTCTAAAGGCCAGGTGTTAGGTCCATAGTGATTTTGGTTCAACCAGGAAGCAGTTTGGTAAATGAATAGAATGGGAAGGGAAGTAAGAGATCACGCTGCAGAGGGCGTACCATATGGGAGAGGATATAATATCTCAGCTGGCCCTGAACACTCCAGAGCTGAGAGTTATGGTCTCCACAGACAGGCAGGAAGTCCAGGGCTCAGTGAGGGGCCCTGGGTGCTTTGGACCCCAGCTGCCTTGGGCCTGGACTTCTGCTCCCTCATCTGTACAATGTGAATGATGTCAGAGGCCTCTCTCCAGCAGCTCTGTGCTGTTACATCAGAACTGTAACTCATCTGTCCACATGTCTGTCTCCCTCACTGGGCTGTGCACTGCTCGCATTCACCTCGATACCTCCAGCGAGACCGTGTGCTGGGCGTGTGTGTGTCAGATTGCCGAAGGCACCGACAGACCTGCCGGTATGAACGCGAACCCTGTCTGCAACACAACACTGAGAAAATTACCTCGGAGAGAGAACCAAAGAACACCCCGGAAATCTAACGTTATACATTAAATGCATCCACGTGGCTGGCCACCGCTCCGAAGATTGAGCAACCCTAGAATGTGAGCTGGAACCACGAGAAAATGGTTGTTACATGTCCCCAAACAGCAGGCCTGCCCAAGTCCTAAAAGAGTTAAGGTACTAGTAAAACAAAGCAAAATCTTTACTGAGTGCTTTTAAAAAAATACTACGGGTATTCTGTATTTTACCCCCTTAGATATAATTAAAATATGTGTGTGTGTGTGTGTGTGTGTATATATATATAATTGATTTCAGAGACAGGAAAGGGAGAGAGAGAAGCATCAATGATGAGAATCATTGACCAGCTGCCTCTTGCACACCCCCTACTGGGGATCAAGCTGCAACCTGGGCATGTGCCCTTGACCGGAATCGAACCTGAAACCCTTAAGTCCGCAGGCCAACACTCTATCCACTGAGCCCAACCGGCTAGGGCTAAAAATAATTTTTTAAAGAACCTCTGAGACTAATAATAAATAATCCTTCTTTAGTTTACTGCTTAACTTTTAAAGACAGAAAATTATTTAAGAAGCCAAATGTAACAACTTAATGTGGCATAGGCACATTTCAAGAGCAGCAGTTTGCAATTAAAACACACACACACACTCTCTCTCTCTCTCTCTCTCTCTCTCTCTCTCTCTCTCTCTCCTCTTTATTTTCCCCAGAGTGGCAGCGCTGCAAATGAGAGAATTTTTGAAAAAAAGAGCCGAGAAGCGGCCTGTAGTATTCTGAAGCAGACGTGGCATCAGGGAAACCACCACTCAAGCACACAAGTGGCATTTTGTGATCAAATTTATTTTTTGTTTAAATTTCATTTACTTTGTTTTACTGTAATTTACACAAGAGACTGCCAAGTAAACTAGATATTTTACATTCACCACACATTCCCTCAAATCTCCACAGTTGTTAGAAAAACATTAAAATCCATGCGCTGGGCTCTCGCTTCCATGTGCGCCCCAGCTCCCAACGATGCCACAGCTGCCAGCGAGAGTTACGTTCATTAAGAGGAGAGGACGAGACTCTTTATTTCAGAAAATTAGCAATAATCCTCCTCGCATCGAACACTGTGCCGACAATGATTATGCGATGACAAAACCTATCTTGCAACAGTGCTCGGAGAGTAAACATCAGTCTTGATCCTGAGTACACAGAGGACATACGCCAGGTGGGGCTGGTAGCTGAGGATCACGGCGTCACGAAGCAGCAGACATCCTTGTCTGAGTCCCCACGATCACTTGGGTGGGGACACGGGACACGTGGGAGAGAGAAGTGAGGAGTGGGGGGCAGGACGGTGAGTGAATCAGACTACTGATGTGGTGTGACTACAGGGGCTGGCGCGCTGCAGGAGGGGCGGAAGGTTAAAGAAGACAGTTTGTAACCTGAAGGCTTCAACAGTATTCTATTCAAGCTTCCAGGACTGAGTGACTGACAGGAGAAAAACTCGATTCGGACAAAGCAAGCTGTTAAGTTCCTACCTAGCTGTCCTTCCTTTCTTTAAAACAAAAAGGGGGCAGCAGCTCCTAACCAGCACTTCCATGATGCTTGTTCAGGGCGTGTTTCAATGACCTTGTACTTGAGGGCACGGCCAAGCGGGTGGGGATGCACTGGCCCCTCTGCAGGGCCTCCTAACCGTGTGCAGGCAGGCCTCATGCTGCCTCTTAAATGCTTCCTATTTCAAAGTCAGTATCTCCTCCTTAAAGTGTTTCAACATGAAAAGAGCAAAACACCATCCCTATCTACACTCTAGCGCGTAAGCTGTGAGGACTCGAGCTCATTTGCATAGTTTCCAAGCAGTAATTTCAGAAAACAGTCTTTTCCAAAAAAAGACTCGGCGGACGCAGTGCACTCCCCGTTTTTCTAAACAGCCGACAATGCTATTAATCTCTTCATCAATTTCTTTGTTTGCCTAACAGGAGCCTGAACATTGTATAGTGTTTATTATACACCACAAACATCATCTCTGTTTTTTGCTATGTCTGATGTAGAAAAATACTTGAAATTTAAAATACAAAAAATCCAATAAAAACCGGATTTTTCTTTTAAAAGGATTTTGTCCCTCAGGGCAAACAGGTAAAAACTGGCCTATAACTTCACTCCTTACTAACAGATATTATCCAATTTGGCTGTGAGATAATGACCATCCAGAAATAAATCGTTATATATACATTCAGCGTTAACAGTCCACAGTCACTGGAATACCAACACATTTTGAATAATTTTTTTTTTTGTGGGAGTCAGTTGCTTATGAGAATAAAATAAAAATTTTAAGAGACTAATTTAAAAGAACAGAAAAGTAATAAAAGGCTATATATATATACACATATATTTATGTATGTATGTATATATATATATATTTATTGGTCCACAACTTGACATTTATGAAACATACCAGCTAGTATTACACTGCAGTCAATTTGTCCATTAATGGTATTACTCTGATTATTAAAATCTGTTCCAGGTATATATATTGAAAATATTTTCTTTTGCATTCTTGCTGAAGATAGGTACAGTACTTTGGAGAAATTGTACTAATCCCTTCAGTATGTTTATATGTACATATATACACAAAAGTGTGTGTATTCTGATCTGTAGCTCTACATGCGTTTTATATACAGCTACAGACATACACACACAGACATATATACACACGTGGCTGGGAAGCTGTGCATGTGAGCACGCAGTCACAAGCACGGCACGTGGCTGGGAAACGCCAACACTGCGAGATCCTGGTCAGAGTCTTCCTCACTCATCACTGGCTGCACTTGTGCCCCTCACTTGACCTTGATTACGTAACTGCAAGGAACGTGAAAGAAGGGCAATGTGTTAAAATCCAGAGAGACGCAAGAATGTTAGACAACAGCTTGTTGCACACATTCTCCTGAAAACAAACAAACAAACAAAACCTTCCATGTATTAAAACTTCTGACAGAAAATGGACCCCAACTACTTACTGCCTTTTAAAAATTTAACCTCTTGAAGATTTTGGTCTTACTAATGGCGTAGCATTTTGTTTCATCAGAGGGAAAATAAATGAGAAGTGAATACAAATCACAGAAACTTAGAAGAACTTAACAAAAATAGTAAGTTGAATTTTTTTTTAAAAATGGAACACTGAATTTAAAGAAAGGGCTTGGGGGGGGGTGCGGGGGGGTGGTCCTGGCAGGGTTCATTCATTCTTATTTGGTACAACTACTTCTCTTCACTACTGAACACGTCAGGTCTCCCATGTTCTGTAACTATAGAGCAGGTATCACATGTAAGGGCAGTGACGAACTACAGTGGAGTGACAAGAATGTTCTGTCTTGTGCTTTTCCTCGATAAACACCGCAGTTCAATGTTAACAAATGACAACAGTGTACTGTCAACTTTTGTTTATTCACACTGGTTTCAATACTGGTAGATTTTTGAGGCTCTTTTATCCCTTCTAGAAAAATCTCTAATTTGAGGAAATAAATTTGTGCTAGAGGAATAAGACCATAGACATGTTTTACACTGTAAATAAAAGCCAAAGTAAAAAACTAACTATAAGATAACTATAAGATATGACTTTCTGGTGTTCAGGAAAAAAAAATTCAACTGAAATGAATTATTGAGGTTGGCCCTTATGGTATGGGATAAAAGGTCTTTGGCTTAAAATGCTTTAAAATATTTCCTTACTAACCACTACAGGTCAATTAACTGGCCATCGAGAGCTGGTTTCTAACCCAGTAACACTAAGAAGTAGTTGGGGATTACTAAATCCAACTTGTTCCATTTTTATACAATAGTGTTTACTGTCAATTTCTAAATTACAATCTCTTACATTCCAAAACGTAAACCACATTTAACACTTCTGCTCAGCCTCTGCTCAGCGAGTTAACTACTTATTACTAAAAAGGTATTGGTTTTCAAATATCCTTTTTACCCAGGTCTTCACTTACACAGTTTGATATTGTCTCTGACCCTACAGGGGACTCATCTAGACATCAGCAGCCGACGTGCCTCGGACGGAACCCTTCTTACGCATCTAAACGTAAAATAAAATCATGAGCTGCTGAAATCACACACTCTGTATCGGGTTAGTCAAGCAAGGGGAGAAAAAAGACCTAGAAGAGACTGTGAAGCGACCACTGCCTGTTTCTAGCCATTTCCACACAGAGAGAGAATGGGGTTCTGAGGCCCTTTCCGTAATCTTGGTCTAAAGAAAATGTTGCAAAAGGATTTTTTTGCACAGCATAAAAAATGTGTGCCTATGCTTGAGTCTAGGAAACAAAAGTCTGCAGACTGATGATGTAAAATGATCAAAGGCAGCCAAGGGAAAATGAACCGTTCACCAAGGAGGTGAGTAAACGCCCAGATGGTCTGGCTCAGACTTCTGTAGTCCCTGGACCAGACAGGAAGCCATGAGGAATGGCCACCTCCGTGGCTTCTGAGAACAAGGTCCCTCCGAGAAGTTCTTTATGGGAAGTTTCTTGAAAACAGGAAAGTGGAAAGGAAGAAAAAGCCAGCACAGGAACAATGTATGCGAAACAATGAAGGACAGATGCAGGGCTGCCTCAGAAAGGACAGGCATTCACAACAGTAACCTACAGACAAGTAAAAGCCTCACTGAGAAAATTAAGGAAAAGAATGAACAGAAAAGGAATAAATACAATAAACACATTTCTAAACCTCAACCCTTCTCCCCCAACCCCACAGAAGTGCGAGTTGAGAACACACGCGAAAGGTTTGCTCAAAGCATTCTCTCCGTTGCTTTGCCTAAACCCAGTATTTCTCTGTCGGATTACAGGCAGCGGCTCTCCAGGGCCAAAAGCCATTTGAAAAAATCCAATTCTTAAAATATTTCAGAATTAAGGAGAGAAGCGCAATGTATCCAATTCTATCACCAGGTGTGAGGAAAACAGGACCTCAGGAAAGGGAAATTCCTCCTGGCAAAGAGGACAGGAGGCGGTGCTTTCTGGGTAGGCGGTTTGGCCTAGAGGCATGCTGCTGCCCAGACTCTGCAGATGCTCATGAACCAACTGTTAGATGTGGAATAGAGCATCCCGCACCCAATGACTAGAGCAAAATAACTGAAATGGGATTGTATGTTCAGATGATCAGCACTTAATCTGAAATTTGCCTGAAAATGCTGTTGAAATATGTACCCCCAACCCTGAACCAATGATAGATTCCTACCAACTTCCTGGGGGAGTTAGGTTGTCATGTGGGTGCAATAATGATGACAGCTTCTAATAACGTGGCCTTGCAGGGAGAAGCAGCGGAGACTGCAGGCTCCCTACATAGGCGGGAGCGAGTTCCCACCCCCTGTCAGGGCTCCCTTCGTGTTAACATCGGGGCTGTTCTGTGTTCAGGTAGCAGGAGACTGAGAACTTGTGAGGGAAGCAGGAGTACCTCCCTGGGGGAAGAAGAGGTCTCAGCCAAGTTCTATCCAAGGGGTCCAGAGACAAGCAGGGTTCAGAGCCCAACCCAGGGAGGCTCCCCCCATCACCCTGCAACTGTGAGCGCTCTTCCTCACGTTATGGCCAGCTCCTCAACATCAAAATCCAAACAAACAAAGCCCCTTCCTGAGCGTTCCAACCAATAAAATAAGTCTGTTTTCTGTTCTGTCGTGGTGTTGGTCGATCACTTTTGGAGATGCCAAAGGTGTACCACGAGTTTAGCGAGAATGAGTGTGACCATGCTGCTTGCTTTTTAATGTTCGGCTGACAGCAGCTGCTCACAAGGGCGGAGGAAGAGCCGGCAGGGATCGCTGGGGCCTGGACTCCTGCAGGGAGTGAAACCAGGCAAGGAGGGGAGAAGGGAATCAAAGGAGCTGTGGTGGTGGGTGCCTCTGGCTGAAGGGCACCCGACTCCTGAGTGAGGGGAGACGGAAGCGAGTGAAGTGGGTGAGAGGCGTGGGGAGAGGGACAGGACATGCCCATGACGTACGCTGGCTATTCACGTATTTTGACGGGACCAGCCTAAAACTAAGGGGGGAGGCGAGTCCTCCATGCTTGCCATCCGATCACCCCATTCCCAGATCCAGAACTCAGGAGTCAGACTAGCAGTACAAGAACCTGATGTCAAAGGGGCTTCCACTGTCTGGCCTAGAAACCGAACCCCAATTTATGTTGTTTTCTCTATGGGAAATCATGTTCCAAATTTCAAAAAATCAACTTAAAAACTTTTGGAACAAAATCCATTCATAAGTTGGAGACTGGCTGAAGTTTACTTTATGTATAAGATAAGGTTAAAACATGTATTGCCTTATAAAGAAAGTATGTCCTAGTCCTTTCGGGAAGGTTTGTATAAAGCTAATTAGAAGCAGATCTGCCGTAATCACCAAAAGTAAGCAATTTTAAACAGATTCTTTACGATGCTCCGCGCCAAATAGATTTCTTTCTGTGCCAAAGAACCTGATTTGCTGCCACTCTCGTGTGATTAAATGGAGTTCCTGCCTCACACACAGGCATTTGTCAAACACTCTCGCCTGCAGGGCTTCCAAAACGAAGACTGCTGGCAGGACTCGGGTGACTGCATGGAAACGGCTAGCCTACCCTGGACATTCCTGGGGCTCATGTGCCCCGGGGGGCCTGACTTTCAACTGAAAAGAAGTACAGCCCAGAGCAAACGCAAAGCAGACACGTGCAAGAGGAAGTCGCGAAGAGCCTGTCTGTGGGAGAGATGGGTGCTCAGGCACTAAAGGGCCCGCTCACTGGTCCTGGGGAGGAGGAGCTGGGTGGGTTTAACTTTGAAACATGGCAGGCTGACCGCCAGGCCAAGGATCGCCAGTATTTCTGCCTAAAGCTTAAAAAGAAATGATCCCTCGCTGGCTGTGGGGGGGGAGGAGGCGTTTCTGGAATCAGTGATAAAACCACTCCTCTACCCTTTCTACGGAAGAGGTAACCAGGACTCCCGCACTAACATTAGTGACTCACTGTGATGATAGCAAAATGAGCCGAAGGCAGTTTGGCCTGATAAAGTGGGTCTACTAGGACGGCAAACCTGACCCCATCGAAGAGAACTAATGCATAAAAAAGAATTTACAAACAACTGGACACCTTACAGGTGACAGGTTCTAAATCAGGAAAGCTCTAGTCTACTTTTATGAAAAGATGCTCAACAAAAGAGAAATAAGAACAGGTGAAGAGATATTAGTGTCGGAAAAACTTGATTGTGACAAGGAGATACAGATTAAGGAATGGCTTCTGATAATACTCTTCTTAATGCTAAGTCTATAAGCACACACACAGTACTAGAAAGGAAAATTTGGGAATTTCCACAAAACAGGAGGTCTTACTGTTTCTAATTCTTTCTGGGTTTCATCTTCCATTCGCCTAATATCTTCCATTGTCAGATCAATCCACTTGTCAATCCAACAGAAAAGCTGGCGATGAAAGTTTGTAAATATCCTTTTTTCTTGCTTTTAAAACAAAGAAGAAAAGTAGTGTAAGATGGTCAAACGCTAAGATTAATGACACATGAACTTCATATGTCCCAATTAACACATGACATCCACATACACTTGGTTTGAAAAGACTACTATGTCGATTGGTGAAATTCTTAGTTTCATACCATTACCATTTTGTAAAACAACATAAGGATTTCCTTGTGAAATGTGAAAGAGTCTCTCCTTGCAGAGGAAGTACGATTTACTGGAAACTGAAAAAAATGTGATGAGTACATGCTAATCCTGCATAAACTCCTGCTGGACCTGATTTATTATTACCTTTTCTAAATGTCAATCACCAAAGGTCAACTCAAATTTCTAACTTTTCTGTAATTCAAAGGAATACTGTGAGGTGGAATATAATAACATCCTGAGAGAGGAGTCCCAGGCTCTTGGAATAAGATGTTTTATTAAATTAAGAATTATTATATACACTCCGTTAATTTTCCTACTCTAATGTTACTGCCCATATATATGTATATATGTATATATAAATAAACCATATATATAATTAGTGATTTTAGTTGCTGGATTATTTAAGTTTTATTAAACTTTTCCAAGGAGAGAGAAAAGTGTACTGGAAAGTGAGTACTTTACTATTTTTGGACAGCCTTCAACTTTTACATTTTTTCCCATGAACAGAAGGGACTTCATCAATTATATGTGTGACTTCTATTTATCAGAACTAGATTGCTAATCTATTATGATGATCCAAGAGGAAAGAAGGAAGCCAATATTTACAGAGTGCCTACTGTGGGCCAACTGTAAGCAGGCCCAAGAAGAATCAGTTTCCAGGCTTTAAGATCCTTTTTTCAATTTTTTTTTAAGCGTTAGAGCAGTTACAGTTTAAAAGTAAAAAAAAAATTATGGTGAAACTCTGCCACTGTAAACCGTGTGGGTTCCAGAGATACAAAAGGGGCTTTTTTATAATGATAATGGAAACACATTCACCCTATAGGAAAGTAAATACCAAAGAACTTTCCATATTCCTTCTGTGCTTACAACCATGTCTATTTTTATACAATTGCAGTTCTCTCCTCATTCTAGAACAGTGGTTCTCAACCTTCCTAATGTCGCGACCCTTTAATACAGTTCCTCATGTTGTGGTGACCCCCAATTATATTGTTACAAATTGAACATAATTAAAGCATAGTGATTCAACACAAAAACAATATGTAATTATAGATGTGTTTTCCGATAGTCTTAGGTGACCCCTGGTTGAAAACGGCTGTTCTAGATCAGGTGTCCCTGCAGCTTTCACTTTAATAAAGAAATTATAAAAAAGGTGATTCGAATTTGGATCCTCGGAATATGTTACCCTAGGTTTAGAGTGCAGCTGTTCTTAGCGAAGACCCCAAAGGAAGACATGCCACAAAGGAGCACAAAGCACACAAGAAGTGTATGTGCAGAGCGATCTGTGGGAGGGGTGAGGGGCATGGAGCTGAGCTGGGACAAGGAGCAAGCACCTCAAGGGGCGAGGCCTGGTCTCTCCCTCCAGCCAATGCTGACACCCCATGCCCCCTGGGGCCATGCTGTATGTGGACAAGGCTCTCTACAGAAGAGCAGGGCTAACCATCAGGAAAGCACTTTGAACAAAAAATGTTATAGACTTGCCCTACCGGTTTGGCTCAGTGAATAGAGCGTTGGCCTGTGAACTGAAGGGTCCCGGGTTCAATTCCGGTCAAGGGCACATGCCTGGGTTGTGGGCTCCATCCCCAGTGGCGGGGTGTGCAGGAGGCAGCTGATCAATGATTCTCTCTCATCACTGATCTCTCTCATCACTGATGTTTCTCTCTCTCTCTCTCTCTCTCTCTCTCTCTCTCTCTCTCTGCCTCTCCTTCCTCTCTGAAATCAATAAAAATATATTGTAAAAAAGGCTAGTCTTCCCTAAAGCAAGCCCCTTAAAACCTCTGCTGGCATCTATCAGTGCTGTTTCTAGGGAGAAAAGAAGGGCAGAGATTTGATATAGGAACAGTGATTTTTACCTCATGAGACAAAAGAAGTGGTAACAGAGCAAATATCCCATGAATAGCTACCTCAAATCTTAGGCTAAATTTAAATCACTGCAGTTTTAACAGACTTTACCTTCTGAATGAAGTTTTCTACTTTGCTCTGCAGCCCCCACCACTTGAATTTGATGGTCACCAGCTTATAGGCACACATCTGAGGACAGTCAGGGTTGTTCGCCAGCTCCTTCTAGATGGGGAACATTGGAAGGGAGAAATCGTGACTTCAATATTTATGTTTTGATGAAAACTGACTGCTGTGTAATGACATCACAGACATGCATGAAGAAAATTATACTCTCATATGTGTGTTTAACTTAGGTATTTGGATATTTGAAATCTTTTTAGCAAAAGCAGAATTCCCCCACTGCAACCCTCCTTCCACAGACGAAGTTACTTCCTGACTCTACAGTTTAATAGGCGCATTGCTCTGTCTCAAATTACACTATTCAGATTTCATATTAAACACCAAATTCTATTCACAGCGTATCCATAGTGAGCCTTTAATACGTGAGTGTTCTCATAAAGCCATTATCGTACTCCCCCCATGAACGTGCTGAGGCACAATAAGAAACGATGAAGTTAGTTGTCTTCTGTGTCTTCAGACATTGGCAAGTGGGGAGGCTGTGTTTTATTAACTGAGGGGATCTCAATGGAAGGGGGATTTCCAAAGGGATGCAGCAGCAAAACTGATCTGCATCAAGTCTTCGAAGGCAAGTCCCAAACATCCGGACTTTAATATCCACGAACAATTACACCTGATAGTTGAAATGGTGAAGTCAGGGAATCAAATCAAGAGTTGTTATGGTTAAAAAAGGGGGGGGGGGGAGATTATATATATATTTAAAAAAGAACGAGGGAGAGGGGTAGGTGGGCTAACTGGATTAAAAGGGACTAAAGAAACAAAATGTAATGTCTACAATTTACATCCCCAAGAAAACATAAGGGAGCAACAAGAATTTGGATCCTCAGATTATGCCACCCTAGATTCACAGAGCGTTTAGATTCAGTCAAAAACAAATTAACTATGTATTTGTGTGGAGAGAGGGAGGAAGAGGAAAAATGAGAAGAGAGGGGACAAGAAATATGCCAACGTGTCAACAAATGTGGCATCTACATGGAGGTGGTCACGGTTTTCTCCTTGCAGCTTCCTGGCTAGCTCTGAGATTTTGATTATGAAAATTGGGCAGGGCGACGGCAGTGCATGGTCCTCCTGACCACTTCTGTGACTCCGTGCAGGCTTCTGCCTTAGAAGGTTCCATAGCAGCACATTCATTTTCGTTAGGGGAAGAGGTGACTGCGGGGTGGAACCAGGAGCTCGCAGCACACAGCTTCCAAGGTGTGTGTACAAAAGACCAAAAGCCTCCCCAGCTGACCCAGCAGAGATCCTGGGATGGGCTCACAGCAGCCAGCAAAGGCAGACATGGTCTTACCTGCAGAGCTCAGTTGAGCCCAAAAGGCAGGTTCTTATCAAAGAACCACAGAGAGCAGAGAGGGGCTGCAGGTGTGGTCTAGGGAAAGGGCCGTCTATAAAACGCTAAGCCCCAATGCTGGTGTACTTACAAGATGAAAGCGACATCTCAAACCCAACTAAGGCAGTGTATGTGCCACGCTTGGCTGGTGGAACTCAAGGGCATAATACATGTGAGTTCTCTCTCTCTCCTTCAGTCTTTCCTAGAGTCATATTTACCACTTTGAATTTGAAAAAAAAATTAAATGAAGCTTCTTAAAAGAGTAGAAAGTCGTGTGCAACACTACGGGGACCCTTTTAATAAAAACCAAATTATTGAGTGAAAAGATAAAGCAGCCTTTTCCAAGGGCTCTCCCTTTCTTCACATTGTTCTCAGCCTCACACAGCATTCAAGGCATTACAATGCCAGCATCAGTCACAGTGTGCCACTGTCACTTCCTGTCAGTTTCAACTCACTCGCAAATCCCACTTTCAATAAGTTCGTTGTATGAACAAATATGCTTTCTATTTAGCCACATATACATGAATTCAAAAAAAAATGATGAATTTCTAGGTCTTATTCTAAAACCTCAAGATTTTTCTTCATTTGTGGAATCATAGCACCAGACCCATTCCCCCCTCACCCCCCGAACTCTCAATAATGTCCCAGTTTCAAGTGAACTCTAAGGATAAGATGTGTGAGGAAATCCTGCTTTGGTATTATTAATAGAACCCAATGTCCTATAGAGTCCCGAATGATTGATCAACTTTTCTCAGAAAACCTCTTCTGTAGTAACAGTTCATCTTCTGAATAATGAGCTGGTACATGACTTAAATCAATGGGGTAACACCATAAGCATGTAAATAAGATTATTACACACAGCAAACCATCCTTTTCCAGGTGAGTTCTATGTCAACAGAGGAACTTGGCAAGCGTAGCTCTATTTTTCCATGATTTCCCTCCCATAAAACAGAGTTCCACTGTGAAAATTCGGTAAATGTGCGCGTGCACACACCCCCCCATACTTTATGAACAAGTTTAATTCAGTTAAGTGTTAAGTGGGTGCCATTTACAACCCAATCTGCAAGGTGTTGCCAGAGGACACAGAAGTGGCTGACAGGGAGGAGAGTGATTATGTTCATAAGCAATGATAAAACACTGCTCTTGGTGCCAACCACCTCCCAGAAGAGCCACCCTTCTGTTGTGGCTGCTTTGGCCCCGGGCAAAAACCACATATTTGCAACTGCCCACCCCGCTCCTTGACCCGCAGGACCCATGCTCTCCTGTGTGCCTTCCACAGCACACAGATAGCTCCCGAGTAACCAGCTTTACTGAAATAATGACAAAACCGGTCTCTCAGAGATCATTTTCCAATAAGCAATGAGCCAGTGCTGGGGTCCTCTCTAATCCAATGAGCATCGCTGAAGGCCTTCACATGAAACACAATTTGGATATCTGTAGAAGACAGCGCTAAGATACACCTGCCAGCCCTGACCGGTTTGGCTCAGTGGATAGAGCTTCAGCCTGCGGACTGAAGGGTCCCAGGTTCGATTCCGGTCAAGGGCATGTACCTGGGTTTCATGCACATCCCCAGTAGGGAGTGTGCAGGAGGCAGCTGATCGATGTTTCTCTCTCATCGATGTTTCTGACTCTCTATCCCTCTCCCTTCCCTCTCTGTAAAAAATTAATAAAATATATTTTAAAAAAAGAAGATACACCTGCCAAACAGCCCCCATTATGCAAAGTCACTTCCTATGTAAGGTGGGCAGGGTTCTTAATCCCTCTGGGCCTCGCTTCTCTGTCAGTAAAATGGAAGGCTGGGCTCTATCACAGCTTTCCATCCTCCACTTCCATGCCTTCCAAAGTAGGGGTGAGTGAACGGAACTACTCCTCAAGAGTTACGGTCAGCCCAGGGCCACAGGTGGCAACACACGTGGCCTTGACATCCAATGTCTTGTCTTAAAACGTCCTATGATTCTGTCTCCCCCCCCAAGCCCCCACCAGTATTCCTGGGCTTATTAACAAAGCCCCCTGCCCACACACTCCGGCCGATGCCTCTGTTTTCCATGATTTCCAGATGAAACACTCCAAGGTCCTACTCCGTAGGGCGTGCTGACACTGTAACTCCAAAGCCCAAATCATTAGACGCCTTGTGCTAAATGAAAGCCTTGGGTATTTCTAGTAGGACACTGACTCTTCAAAATTCTCCCACAGTTTTATAAAAACAGCAGGATCAAGCATAAAATTTAGTTTCCTTCTAATCAAAGAAGCTACATTTAATACAAACAAGCCCATACCGATCTTGGGTTCCAAGAACCGAGCATATATGTGGCTCCAACAATTACCTACATAGTTTCTCACATTCCTTCCAGTGAGGTTGGCAGACTGCTCAAGTCAATTACAGCAATACTGGTAAAATATTCAGTAATAATGGCCTATAACGTTTAGTTTAAAAACTGTAAGTGATAGGACAGGAGAAAAAAGAACCAATTCTCTCTAAGCTATCTTCCCCAAATCTAAAATGTATGGTCAGTCTCAATCTGCTATTTGTTTTCCATCTAACTTACAAGTAGTTATTTTAAAAAAAAGTTCAGCCCTGGCCAGTGTGGCTCAGTTGGTTAAGTCCCATGCACTGAGAGGTCGCCAGTCTGATTCCTGGTCAGGGCATAGACCCAGGTTCCGGGCTCCATCCCCAGTAAGGGGTGTGCAGAAGGCAGCTGATCCATGTTTCTCTCTCCCTCTACCTCTCCTTCTCTCTAAAATCAATAAAAACATCATATTTGAAAAATAAATAAATAATGAACTGCCTGCTGCCTTTATTTCTTGGCCGAATTCTTTACAGTATAAATATCTCACATACTCTCTAATATCCCCGTGAGAAAGCTGAGGACATAGAAGCTATATATTTTTCTTCAATTATTATAACTAATATATGTGATATTTGAGGTCTCATCCAATCTTAAAAATGACACAATTTATCTGTTAGTTTGAGCTATGATCTTAAAACAAGGGATTAGAAAATAGATAAAACAGAAAATAGTCAAATTGCCCAGATGCAGTAAATAAAGGCTAAAAGAATACTTGGCACCATCTTTCTGGGGTGGCATAATACCATGTAATTAAAAATCTCAAAGCTGTCCATATCCTATGTATACCATATACTTTTGATCTGGTAATTCTGCCTTCAGAAATGTATTCCAACTCATCAAATAAGAAAATAACAACACTGTAGATTTATTTATAACAAAACTCAACATGTACTGAAGGAGAGTGGTGAGATACCTCATAGGCCTTCCAAACAATGGCCTGCTATGCAAATAGCCAGCAGAAACCATCTTTTAAATGAATGATTAACAATGTAAAAAAGAACAAAAAAGCTTAATATGAATATAAATAGGTCTATGTTATAAACACTTATAACAAAATCAATTACACGAATCAGGAAATATAAGTAATTAAATAGTGAGCCTATAATTGATTTTTATTCTTTCCTATGTATAATTCATTTTCAAAACAATATATAAATATCATTATATAAAAAAAACTAATATGCATAAAAAATAAACTCTTAAAAACTGTTTGCCCTCAGCTGAGTATTTTAGGACAAAGATTTACTTTGCTCTAAATTATCTGGGTAATATTTCAAATCTTTATTCTTCTTTGAATATAAACAATATAAATGTTTTCCTGCTTTCCTTGTTTTTGATGTTTAATAAATCAAATCTAAACAAAATCAAGCTGAAAACTGAACTAAGATCTTTAATATATAACTTTAGTCCTGCCCATATTTAATTTTTCCTAATCTTAAACGTCTAAAGCAAAAACAAGTATGTATGCAGAGTAAAATATAATCAACTCTCAGAGTTATCAGAAATATTCTTGTGGGGAAAAAATGCGTAACTTTTAAAATGTGAAAAATCTTAATGGGACGAATATTTGGGATCCTCCCCTCCCCAGTCAGAGCAATGTTCTAGGATCCATAGAACCCAAAGGGGCTCTAGGGTGTCTCCCAGCCCTCAAGAAGGCTCACTGCTCGGGGACAGGACTGCTTCTTCTAGGGCTTTAAAAAATACATATGTTTTCCCAATCTTTGCTCTTCATCAATTGAAAAAAAATAACCAGAAAACAGGCAAAACATGGTTAACACTCCTAATCTACCAATATATAGAATTATTTTGCTGATAAACACAAGATTTATATAGATTAAAGCATAAAAAATTTTAAACAATAATTGAAAATAAAAGGTATTTGAAAATGCTTGGTTACCAAAAGACAAGAATAATCAGAAATTCTGTAAAATGAAAACCATGGGCTAACAGAAGAACCCAAAATTATGACTCATCTCTACATAATTTAAATTTCATCTGTAACATAGTTGTGAAATGTTCCCCAAATTGTATTTATTTTGTGTATTCACTGAATTCCGTATATTTCACATTTCTTACTATAAATGAAGCCCCCAAACTCAAATCATGTTTTCAATTTAACGACACATATTAGGTTACTCTGAGGTATGTGGATGAGGCCTCGGGGAGAGTAATGTATACTAAAGCCTCACGACATAACTAAACAAAACCCAGCATGTTTAACTGGAATGGTGAGCAATCAGCACTGTTATCCACAAGAACTAGTTTCTAGTATCTATGACAAACAAATATACACAAAATGTAAGAGAATTTAAAAAAAAAACACAACCACAACCAAAGGCATTCTGAAAACTCATTTTCTAAAAATAGTCTCTCTCACAGTCTTCTGCTACATATAAACTCCCCATACACAGTTTCTTACTTAAAATGTATGGGGATGAAGATGGAATAGGTACCTGCCACATTCAACCAAAGGTAATACTTTGCGAGGACACAGCAGTTTCTAAAAGACTCACACTCCCTTCATATCTTAATTTTTCAATTTAAGAGAGTCTGAATGCTCAATTTCAGCTGTTGATTTTGTAATGTAAGTTCCCAACCCAGATTTCACTAAGCAAGTTAAAAATAAATGATCTGCTGGGGCTGTTGCCAGTACACGCATCAGTAAAGATCAACACAAGATTATAGAATATATGTGAAATGTGTGTACTGCAGTTTCAAGCAAAACCCGATGCCCCGACTCACAGCCATTCCCTCAATTCTGTTTAGATTTTGCTAGTCATTTTGATAGACCTACACCGGACATATATTCTCTCGAAGTATATGGCAAGTCCAACATTTGGTTTTTATTTGGTTTAAAATAGTTACCTGGAATCCAGAAAATACTCAGTATCCACTCTGAGCAAACATCTGTGCTGGATAAGCTAAGTCAGACACAGAGCCTATGGCTGGAAATTCAGTGAATAATGTGGGATGAACACAGGAGGCTGGGGAAGGGAGACGGAGGGAAGACATAAACCCCCTCCCAGACACAAACACACCAAGTGCCATGAGGTCATTAACAAAGGCCCCCAGAAAGGTTCAGAGGTAGAAGATTCCTACCTGTTTGGGCAAATGAGAAATGTTAAATGGAAGAAGTAAATGTGAGATCAAGTTCAAAAGATTAAACCAACTGTACGCTAAACTAATGTCATAAAAATAAGCAAAATGAAATTAAGGCAGGAATACTTACTGCCCGTGAGAAGATCATCATGCCCATTTTCCATGTCTCCAAACTTAATGTTTTTGGAGCTCACACCCATTTTACTAATAAGAATGATGACATGTTTCATGCTTGTGTCCAACTGCTCTAGGAGTGACACTATATACAAGTGAAAACACAAGTTCACTCTTTAAATAAAACTCATGAAGAAAACCTGATGTCCCTGACAGTGTCAGTAAGACACTGCAAGAAGCCCAGCCTGCCAAATCCCTTCTTGAACCTGAGTAAGACACTTCATTCCTTCAGTTCTGCCTGAGAACAGACACATTTGTATTCAAGGTAAATCTAGAACTCATCATGTACTGCTCCTGGGCATTTAGCTTCTTGAAGACATGCAACAGTGTTTTTGGTGTCCTCCATAGGAGTTGCATAATTTATACTGTGTTAAACGCACATTTTAAAAAATCAAATTAAAAACCTAGTTGTCAAGTCCAACATTTGATTTTTATTTGGTTTAAAATAGGCACACAAAATAATCAGTCATGTTTTTTAAGGTCTGCTTCATCTATCTATATATATAAAAGCCTAAGCGACCGAACGACCAGTCGACCAGTCGCTATGACGTGCACTGACCACCAGGGGACAGACAGTCAACACAGGAGTGCGCTCCCACAGCCAACCTCCTGCAGCCCCTCCCCCTGGCTAGCCAACATCCCGCGGCCCTGATCAGCTGAGGGACCCCACCTGTGCACAAATTTGTCCACTGGGCCTCTAGTTATATATAATCCATGAGGTGGTCTAATCAAGAAACTAATTATTAAGCTTCATTATACCACCCACTATGGGATTTCAAATGTAGATTAGAGAGGGAATAGCTTTTAAAATGCTTTCACATTCAATAAAACAACATATATATTTAAAATGCCTTCACATCCTCCCTGGGACTCACAGCCATGTCTAGGTGAAGACACAGGAGAACACGCTCAGTCTTTCCCTGGGGAGGCTACCAGTCACGGGCAGTGCTCATTGGCCTCTTGAGGACTCTGGGCTGCTTTCCTGCTCGTCTAAATCTCAAAGAGATCTGTCTCCACAGCTAAGTCCCACCTTCTCCCACGCCCTCCCTCCCATTTTATTCTACTAGTCACCAGCCAACAGAACCTTGTGGGTCACCGACAACCAAGCCTTCCAACCTTCTTTATACAGATACGAGGTAGGAAGAGAAAGAAGTCTTGATAGTTGGGCAGGAAACACATTAGCATTCCTAAAATCCACACACACGGCTGCCCTCCACTGGCTTGGAGGATCCAGAATGGCTTTTCCAGCAGTTATGAGTCTGAAGCGTGACTGAGCAGGTAAACAGCATGACAAACTGTTTCTGAAAGGCTATGCTCCAACTGCCAGAACTGCTGCTGCCCGGAGTTAACTAACGCAGAAGAGAAATGGGACGTGCCCTATGATAACAATACTCAATAAAAAATAACGCAAGAATAAACTGTTTTCGCATACTCACAACTGTAAACCTATTTCTGCCCCACCCTGTATAAAGATAAAAGTCACGCCAGGCCAGTGTTGTCCAATGGTTAAGCTGACCCAGGAACCAAGAGGGGACCAGTTTAATTCCCAATCTGGGCACATGCTCAGGCTGCAGGCTCGATCCCTAATACATTGTGCAGGAGGCAGCTGATTGATGATGTTCCTCTCTCATCATTGATGTTTCTATATCTCTATCTCTCTATCCCTCTTCCTTCTTCTCTCCAACATTCAGATGCTGGCTGAGCCTTCTGAGAAGTGTCAAGCACTGTAAGGGCGAGATGTTTTGGCTAAGCCTCTTACAAAGACCCTTACATGCCTGACTGTTGGCTATCGTATATATGTAGACACAAAAGCTTAAGTCTTCAGAGGCATCTGGATTAAATGAAGGAAGAAATGAGGCCTTGCCAGAGGATAAAAATGACATCATAACCTTCAAAGGTGGTGTTTCAATTTGTTAAAATGACAACTCCTCACCAGATCAGGAGGCAAACTGGAAAACTAAAGGAATCCACATGTAAGTTGTTTTTCATAAACCATCAGAACAAGTAGTCATACCAATGCCACAACACACACAAAGCCCCCCAAACATAAACAAACCCAAACACGCACACATGCACACACACATGTATGTGAAGTGCTACAGAGAAGCAAGACATTTACATCCACAGAAACACACGATCCAGCCTGAGCAAAAATCTTTATCAGGTGATAAACTGCTCTCCTTTCACTATGCACAGTCACTTCATCAAGGGTTATACCCTAAATAACAAAATATAATTCGTGTGCCCGGATTTTTGAGACTCTTATTTTCAGAGGGAAAATGAATACACAACTAAAGCCTGCATCTCTGAGTTTTTAGTTTTTGAAAATTAAAAGGATGCATCAGACCTTAGGCTAAAATAAAGAGGCCTGTATTCTTAACCATATTAATATTAAAATCTCCCTGGCAACCCCATATGCCCTGCTAGCGAAGGCTTTCTGAACTGTGTGGCATTTGCTTCAGGGCCAACCATTAACCACATAACCACGGGAGGTAAAGACAGGTGAACCAGGATGTATTTGACAACCCCCAGATACTAGAACGAGGGAACCGCTGGATACTAGACAGAGAAAAGAAGTAACTGTCATAAATAGGATATCACAGCTATTGATCTCATCAACACCAAGAGATGATCAGGGCTTTTCATGGTGACAATGATAAGAGCTACCCCTTACTGTGTATTTCCTCTCTGCTAGGAATGGAACATTCATTCATTACTTCATTTAGTTCTCACAACAATCCTGAGGTCGTTATTAGTATCATTCCCATTTTAGAGATGTGGAAGCAAAGGCAGAGTTAGGATTAAGTTATTTAAGTCACAGCTTACATGGGTTTTTAATGGATCTCCCTAATGCCACTGTCACCTACAAAGCCCCTGAACACTGGAAACACATGACTGGTGTTAACAGGAATCATCAAATTCTGACAAACCCCACGAATACAGAAAAGCACACAACTGCCATGATATGACACAGCATAAAAGGTGTAGACTGGTGATCTGGAAACACCGGATTGAGTCAGAATCCGCTACGTAGCCACACCTTACACATCTCGGCGGATAGCACGGAATCAAGTTTCCTCTACAACTACTACCCATGTTTCTCTAGCCAAGTTTCCGATCTATGAAACGAAGCAGTTGTGCTTACCCCACAGGAAGGTTGTGAAGATTAAATACGACCTTGTATAGTGCCTGGCACCAGGGGAAAGTTTTTTTCCCCTTTCCAGTCTGGTGCAGACAAGCGGTAAATACTGCAATAATTCAGAAGGAAACACCACTGTGGGGTAAGTGAGAGAGTTTCCCAGAGAGCCTGAGGTTTAACTAGCTGTGAGTGCACTTTGGAATTTGTGCTGTTAAGGTGGGTCTCTGCTGAGGGGCATCGACGGCCTTCAAAGCTGTGACCGATCAGGCAGCAATTCCCCAGAAGCGCTCTCTCACAGTCCTGGGGCAGTGGGTCCAGACGGGATTTCTTCTTCCTTTTTGCTTTAACTCCCATGCATCCCTCCCCTACTCTCATATGGCAGAAGTACAGAAATCTCCACCTGTCACCTTCCCCAGTGCTACCCTCAATGCCACCATGAGCACTTTTAGTGACAAGTAGAGGCCCCTGAGCACGGATAAGATCAAGCCAGTCCACAGGTTCCTATTTTTCTATGTTGAACTATCAACTAGTCATCCTTCTTACTCTATTTTTCCTTCACAGCAGTAAACAGATGGGGTAATTAGTTAATCTTCATTACCCTAGTTATTTCTAATCATGGTGATTCACTGAAATTCAGTTAAGCAGTAACTCAATTTATAAGAGTAGCTACATCCACCATCATTGGGCTAACGTTAACAACCAAGAGGCAAATGGATAGAAAGGTATGACTATCAGCCAGCACTCTCCCAGAAAAATAATAAGCTACTGTTTAATAAATACACACACACAATGGGGGAAAGACTGCAATATTACAACCTGAAACAATGTAAAATTCCCATTATTTCTAAAAACTAAAGCTATTCTAGAATTTTAAATAATCATAATTGATAAAGACAAATCAGTGCTAGTTACAAAGGTAAAAATTGTACATAAAGAGGGAATGAAAATGGTACTCCAAGTTCGTAAAGTTTGGAAATTAGGTAAAGTTAAGTCATAGTGTCAAACTATCGTTGTGCCTGTTATAAAACTGGTTAGGCGTTCCCACAGCCAACACTTGAGCCTAAACATAATAGCCGACCGTGTAATGTAGCAATGCTTTTCAAGTTTACACTTGAAACACGGATAATTTGAAGAAAATTCAGAATTTAATTCACCTCTGAGTCTCAACCCGATGCCCTTCATTCCCTGTAAAAGTCCTGTCAACGAGAGAGTTATTACTTATTGGAGCAAGATGGCCTTTTAGAAGCAGAAGACGTGGCAACCTCAGGAGCTGTCCACTGCTGCTGCCTCGCCCGCACTCTCCTATAGAAGGCCACCGTTAACCTCCTAAGATTCCTCTGAAGTCCACAGCTACAAGTCTGGGTAAGGGTAGGGATTTTTTAAAAACCCACTGGAGTACATTTAGATCATGCATACTGAATTTGTCCCTTGATTTGTAAATTACATATATCACTTCCTGGAAATTAAGTTAAACGTCTCTAGTCATGGCCATTAAACTGGGAGAATCTGGAATTGAACTCTACCCAGCGAACAAATGTGAAAATAAGATCATTATGAATCATTTTCTTATAGCAGAAAGTCAGACTCATTCTTCATTTTAATTGACATGCAAGACAATCTACAAAACGGTCTGACGCCCACGAAGAGCCATGCAATGGGTTACTGGTGGGGCTGTTACACTAATCCTCTCCCTGCAAGCAACAACTAGCACCTAGACAGATTTGTTCCTAAGTACAATCCTGTTGGTGGGAAATCGGCCTGGGGCAGGTTTAAGTTCCTATGCTCCTCATCTCTTGTCAGATTAGCTAAGATAACTTGCCACCAACACGTGAAGCCTTCTGTAAAGGTTTGTCATTCAGTTTAACGAATGTCTTTAAAACGCATTATATTTCTAGGGCGATTTAAATGAGTACCTGGACATTGCTTTTCTTACTTCCCCGAATAAAATAAGGATATGCTCTTTACAAGAAAGCAACTACTTGCCATCGCCATTGTTCTCTGGTGTCCTGCTTTCCAAAATATAACTATTAAAAGGCCAGGAGCATAAGCTTGGGCAAAGGGAGCATGTTCAGGTTTTACTAAGACTAAAGTTAAACTAGAAACGCCCACTTAACAGGGATTTTTGTACAGCTTTGAGTCTCCAAAGAGAACAATACAATCCCCAAAGACCAACTCACTTGTCTCTTTTAAGAGTTATCAGAATAGCATTATGCCGAAAGTGACAGTCTGGCTCTGTTCTGTTGATTAATGCAACGCAGACTTGCTGGCCAACTGCAACTGGCTGTAAGTCCTTATCACAAATAAAACTATTTCGGTGCCATTTCTATTTTTCACTTAAACGTCACCAGCTCTCCCAGACTCAACCCCTGTCCTGCGTTCTGTTGCCAAGACTCTGCCTGTCAGAAAGGTCAGCATCCAGTACCTTCCAGTTGGGTCCCAAAGGGCCTCTCTTGGTCTTGGCTGACTGGAACAGTGCTGGGTCTTCATCAGCTTTGTAGTCCTGCAAAGCAAAACAAAGTCAGAAGCAGAGAAGAAAACCAGAGAAAATTCTTTAACTTTGTCAGAACAGCGCTTTGCAGCTACTGGCACACATGACAGCAACTCATTAGGCTTATTGTGCTGCTGTATAAAATAAAAGTAGAAAAACACTTCTATATGACATTAAGTTTTCACTTTGGTTCTCTCTTTTAAACTTTTACCTTAAGGTAAAATGACTACATAATAAAAGGTAACAGAAGTCTTGACTAAGCTGTCTACTGGTTTATTGGAAAGCTATCTCCAAGAACAAATCTTACAACATTTTTCCATAGTTCCAGCATTTTATATATGTATAATCATATTCAAAAAATAAAACATGCCCATTCAAGTTTCACCAATACCCATAGATGATGACATAGAACTAACTCCCCTCCCAGAGAGCCACTCCTGTAACTGGAAATACAGAACGGAAGTATTGATTCTGCGGCATTTCCCATGTCTTCCATGGTTGGGTCTGTGGTGGATGCCTCAACCAGGAAGTCATCCTCTCCAAACCCTAGTCCACGGAGAGCCATGGGATACACATACTGTGACTTCCTCATGGAAGAGGTACCTCTCACTGCTCTAGCATTGAGGTTTCATGCAAGGCTCTAGTGTGTGTAAATTCCATTTCCCTTAATATACTCTTTCTGATAGGACAGAGAACATGATCGAAGTAAACCTTTTTAAACCTGTTTGCTTTACGGAAGTTCTGTTGTCATTACACACATATATGTGCACAATCTACAGGAAGAAATAAAAACTACCTTTGAAGAGCTCAAGTTCAGGTGTAGATGAGTTGTAATAGTGACAGTGAGCAGGTCAGTTAGTCAACTGAAAATACTACAAGAAAAGAGCCCCCCCTCTCACGCAGAACTCAGGACCCAGGAGTCCTTCACAGCACTGGTGGCAGGACCACACACTTTGGGGGAAGTGCCCAGACACGTCAACATGAAAAATCGTTGTTCTAGAGATTAGCACTGAACATATTCCAAAGCACAACACAAACTTGCACAAATCAATGAAAACATGCTGAGAAGAGGCCAATCAAGACTCGAAAGCTAGGCCTGGCCGGTGTAGCTCAGTGGATTCCTGGTCAGGGCAACCAACCCATGTGTTTCTCTCACATCCATGTTTCTCTCTACCCGCCTCCCTCTCTTCCATTCTTTCTAAAAATCAATGAAAAAAATATTTTCAGGTGAGGATTAACAAGACTCAACAGCTATTCAGTAAGTGTATATGACATAATGATTCCTAAAGAGAAAGTTATAAATGTGAGGAAGAAAAAAAATGTGAGGTTCGGGTAAAAAAACAAAACTTTTAAAGATAGCTGGGTAAATGTACGACCCTGACCTCGAAGCTTGTTTAAAGGTAGTCTAAGAAGCTATAAAAAGGCCCAACAATCAGCTAAAATTACTACACAAGTAAACTGAGCAGGCCACACAGGGTCTTACTGCTTAAAATATGCGATGTGGTATAGCCACACGCATTAGGTCAGTCAGTATTACCCAGGAATGACAAACAGGGGTAAGCCGACGGCAAGGGGCCGGACAACTGGGGTTACTTCATGTGTCTGGGCACATCAGCAGAGGTTCAATTACCACCAGCGAACATGAATTCTGAAACTCCTATTTAGAACCACACCCTAAAAATGAACAACTGCACTGCTGACTGAGAAAAGAATCCACGGCACAGGGCTGGTCTCCCAAGGCCTGGATTCACAGCGAGGAGCCGGCCATGGTGCTAACATAAATATTCACGGAATCCACAGGACACTTTCTTCTAGGTCAGAGGCTTAGAATGAAAAGCCAGAGACAAGCTCACTTTTCTCCACAATTGAAAATATTTAACATCATATCAAATAATCACTTTGAACATCATCTCCCGAAATCAAGGTCTATGTATTCATCAGCCACCGCGTAGGAGGAGGGAGCGCACAGGATGCTAAGAGGTAGTCCGAGGAGTAAGGAGAGCCGGCACCTGGCTCTGGCTCCTAGCAAGTCACAGTGTCGCTGGGAGGAAGACAGAGAGGCAAACAAAGAAAAGGCACCTGAAAGCCAGGGAGGACCCACTAACTGCCAACAGAGAATGCAGAAGAATTAGTCAGAACTGAAACCAACCGACACCAGCCAAGAAAATGTATTTTTCAAATCATGTTTAAAAGTAGAAAACTCTTATTGCTAAGGTGCATTGTGTTAAAATGATTTATGCTTAAATTTTAATTATCTGTACAATGCCCAGAGACTTGGCTGGTGTTTCATTACATTTGAGGGAAAATAAATACTTTCTTTCTTCTTTTTCACTGAGTGTGACCTCATTGTGGGCAACATGCTCACATTTTTTTTTTCTTTCGAAATCTAAAATGTTATAGAGTCTTATATGAGTTGAACAGCAAATACCACATTTCCTAAATTTAAGAGAGGTGATCCATTAAGAAGGAAAGCATTCAGCCAATAAACATGCTGTAACTGAAAGACAAATCCTGATTTGAATATAATAAAATGTGAGGGGGGAGGTCAAGGGGGCAGGAATCTTAGAATAGATGAAGTAAATGGAGACTGTAGAACTACTTCTGTGGATTCTACACTTGTCCACTCCAACGGAGAAAAAACCGCACACCACAATCCACAACAGAATGTACACAAATGTCAGTAGGGTTAAAGGGAAAAAATCCACTGGTGGAATGAATACACTAAGGGTAGTACCTACACCAAGAAATGACTAATTTAAGAAAGTGAAATTGGTCTAAATTGTGGCCAGCATAAATTATTTTCTAACCCTGCCCTATTGGACACCTTGCTTTCCTTCTGTTTTCATTAGAGGTAAATTCATTGAGAAGGTGGCTCGCCCAGGAGCTGGCCCTAAGCATGACTATGGCCCCAGTGAAGGTGACAATGTGAGTGGATGGGTTACATGGGCTTCTTGGAGAATGTCCCTCTCCCTCCTAAACCAGCTCCACATCTGGGTGCAGCGTCAGGTTTTCCATGCCTATCTGACAGGGATCAAGCAACTGGAGAACAGGAAATAACACTTTAAAACTTCACTCTGTTCCACAAAGTGTATTTCTGAGCCTTCGCTTTCAGTGCTGGCTGTTCACTGGATGCTGTTCTGCAATATGGATTCACAGAATTAACAGGTGAAATAAACCTTGAAGATAAACCTCACTTTACATATGAGGACGCCACCGTCCAACAAGGAGATGATATGGCTCACCTAGGACTTCAACACACGGTTTCTTAGCCTCTGTCCTGGGCTCATGCTGGCACTTACACAGGAGAGGGGCAAAGCGTGTCCACAAATGCAGAGAAGCAAAACCACATTTCAAAAACACAAAAAAGCAGCAGCATCAGAAACCGAAGTGAATTTTCCTACAAGAAATGAGTGTATGCATATGAAATACTACATATACATATATCTCTAAAGCGTTGTCTTGTTCCCTCTCTGCTTTTTTCTCTGGAATATAGAGCAGCAGTATATTATATTAAAGATATACTGAACATGTAACAAAACCCAATTATTAACAATAGCACCTTAACCTTGACAGTTGAGAATAATGCATCTTGTCAAAACCTAGGAATTTTTTGTGCTTTTTTTGTTAGTTTGAACACGTAAATGTTTAATCAGCTGAATTAAGTAGCAAGATATTAAAAAGCAGGAAGCAGGTGTAGTTTTCACAGCCTCGGTTTTGTATTTCTGCAACAAACATTTAATCTGTTGAACAGTATCTTAGCTGCTGCATTTTATTCTTGGGTGTCTAGTTTGGTCTTTCTGTATTTGAAAACTGGCCGATTTATATCCGTATCACAACGAACAAATATATTCTTTCATGTATGACAGTTTCAGCATAGAGAATGCAACCTCAGCTACCAATTATAGCTGCAAATGAGCAATAGTGTGGAATGAGACAGCCTGCTGGCTTTGTTAGTATTCTGTCTCCTTTGGGATCCCATGGGGAAAGGGAGGCTCTGATGAAGAGAAGCCCTTGGCTCATGGTTTATTGTGCTTGCCACCAGCTGCAGACTTCTCATCTCATTAGCTCTTTTAGAATACAGTGGGTGAAGACAGCTGTAGCCTACTTGAGTCTTCAGCTCCTGGGTATTCTGAAGGCTGCATTTGCTATGCACTTTCTGTAATCCTTGGGAAAAAAAGAAAGCAGATTCACTAGGCCAAGGAAATGTATTTGTAAAATGAGTTTTAAAATCATGTTTAAAGGTAGAAAACCTTATTGCTAAGGTGCATTGCGTTTTAAAAATTTTTATGATCAAATTTTAATTATCTGTAGAATGCCCAGAGGCCTGGCCAAGATAAGGGCTTAGTAAAACCATCATTATCAAGTTAGGTGTGATGTCCCTAGACACTGCTCGCTTCCACTAATACCAGTGCCTGACCCACAGAAAACACACTGGTATAAACATTAGGTAGATTCGGATGAGTGTTAACACAACTCCATTTAATTGAAAACTCTTATTTAAGTAAAAAAAGGAGGCAAGAAAGTCAAGACACCCTTTGGAGAACACATAAAATATGGAAAATAAATGGATTCCTGAGTCTCCAAGCTGGAGCCGCAGAATACATTCATTCAATTCGTATAAATACCTGTGTTCTGTCACTGGAATACAGAAGTTGTGCTGCCTCTTGGGTACGCATCTGTTACTCACTACAGCTCTCAATAGAAACCCTCAACAGAAACCAGATTCATTTTGAAGACAAAGAATATGAGTTTTATGAATCTTTAAGCATAGTGGCTGTCCCCCAAAATACAAGTGCAAAATCTGTGCTGAGCCAACCTAAATATCCGTGAGTCCAGATTTAACTCATGATTATGAATGGGGAAGTGAGTAGAAGGTGAAGGGCAGGCTGGTAGGAGTGTCTTGACAGCTTGTGGAAAAATCAAAATAAACTACAGACACCAGAAACTGCCTACAGAACCATGAATGGGTTCCACCAGGTGAGGCTAAATGTAAACAGGGAAAAGTGGCCCAA